GGGAGTGGCATAATGGCCCAGTTGGGCCACAGCGGTCCAGGCCTTCCCCAGGGCCAGCCTTGGCTTGGGGCCCCGCCTGGATCGGTGCCCGCTCCGCCTACCTCCTGGTCACGGAAGCCCTTCGACAGGCGAACGAGTGAGCAACCTAGAAGAGCTGCCCCTCAGCGAGTATCGAGACTACATCAAAGTGCAGACGGACAAGGGCACGGAAGTGGCCACCAACCTGGTGATTCTCTGCAACGGTATCAAGATCAACAGCTCTGCCTACCGTAGCGCGTTTGGTAAGCGGGTGGCCGAGCCGTGGCCTATCCCCCAGGTGCCTCCTTAGCACTCTCTGAGAATGCTCATAGCCCTTGCCCCCAGGACTCAGCACCTCCCTGCCTTCCCCTTTCTCCCCAACATATCAAACTTTAAATTCAGGGTAGGGGCCACTGGCAGGGCTTTCCTCAGCTGTGATGATGATTTTGCTCAGGGTGGCCACAGTCACCGGAATCTTCTGAAACTAAGGCTGCCCCCTGGTGGTAAGAGATAGGAACAGGTTTCAGAGAGATGAGAAAGATCCATTTTCTGTTACTTTCCTTCCTGCACGGATGTAGAAGATATTTGGGGTCAAGTCCTTTCTTTGTTCACAGGTGTGTCGCTCTCCCCAAACCCAGATCCAAACATTTGGCCACTTGAGCTTGGAATGATCCCTTGGGGAGTGGAAGCAATGATGTGGCCTCGTTTCCTAAAGCTCAGTGTTTCACTGTATAGCTAACTGGACATGGGGAGGTGAACTGACTGTGTTTAAGCCTCCGTGAGTGAGCAGGAGACTCAGTAGCCAGGCCCTGTGGTTGCTTCGTGTCCTCAGGTCCCCATCATTTTCGCCCAAGTACCCTTTCCTGATAAGGAGCTCCTGCTCGTGTCCAGCAGGAAGTAATGATCTAATCTCAGAAGGCAGCCTGTCCAGACCGAGTGTAGGGGTGGGATTGAGGGCCACTAATGGACAGAGATCCCACAATTTAACACCTAAGAGTCTTCATAGCGTATTTTCAAAGATAAGTTATTTTAAGTCCTTTAAAAAAAAGCTAGCAGTTTTTCATTTATTTAAAAAATCATAGGCCAGGTGAGGTGGCTCACGCCTGTAATCCTAGCACTCTGGGAGGCCGAGGCGGGAGGATTGCTTAAGGTCAGGGGTTTGAGATCAGCCTGTACAAGAGTGAGACCCCGTCTCTACTAAAAATAGAAAACATTAGCCAAGCATGGTAGCACTCACTTGTAGTCCCAGCTACTTGGGAGGCTGAGGCAGGAGGATCGCTTGAGCCCAGGAGTTGGAGGTTGCAGTGAGCTATAATGACACCACTGCACTCTACCCAGGGTGACAGAGCTGGACTCTGTCTCAAAAAAAAAAAACAAAGAAACAAAACAAAAAAAACTTGCATCCTCTATTTGCTTAGCGTAAAAAGAAAAACAAACAAACAAAAAAGAAAACTTACCTACATTCAAAAGTAAATTTAAGACTTGGTTAATCATTGTGACTTGGAAAGAGTTATGTGCATTTCTAAAAGGAGGCTTGCTGGTGTTTTGACCTGTTGCCACCCTGGAATCGGTAACTTTGCCTTTGCAGGAAGAGTCTGAGGTGGGACTTCAGGCAGGAACGAACTAGGTGGGAGGTTCGCCTCTTGAGCGCACACCTGGGAGGGTGACCTGACTAGCACCTGTTGACCAGCACCTGGAGCTTGTCCTCAGCTCCTTCTGGTGGCCACTTAACATGGTGACTGAAGGTCTTGGTTTTGTGTCATTTTGCCCGGCAGAGAGCAGCCTGGCCGGCAATGGTGCTCTGCGAGTGAACGAGCACCTCCAGGTAGAGGGCCACAGCAACATCTATGCCATCGGCGACTGTGCCGATTTGCGGGAGCCCAAGATGGCCTATCACGCTGGCCTCCACGCCAACATTGCCGTGGCCAACATCATCAACTCCACGACACAGAGGCCCCTCAAGGCCTATAAGCCAGGTAAGGGAAGCCCCCGGTGCTTCACAGTTTTAAGAGTTTGGAGTTAGACATTGGAAGCCTTTTTAGGCCATAAGATACCTGACCACTAGAAGAAACTCTCCATGCTGGTGACAGAAACACCCTCCTAGAGCTGTTTAAAAATAAATCAGGGTCTCATGCACCTTCCTGAAAGTCTTACACATTTCCTGGCCCTGAGTCTGAAGGCCCCGGGAAGGGATTTCGCTCTGGGAACTGCAGAGTTTGTGCGTATCTCTGCTCCACAGGTGCGCTGACGTTCCTGCTGTCCATGGGGAGAAATGACGGCGTGGGCCAGATCAGTGGATTCTACGTGGGGCGGCTCATGGTTCGGCTGGCCAAGAGCCGGGACCTGTTCGTGTCCACGAGCTGGAAAACCATGAGGCAGTCTCCACCCTGACGGGGAGGTGACCAGGCAGGTGAACAGACCACTTGACAGCGGGCATCTGCCTGGCGAGTGCTAAAGGGCAAAAGCTGTTTTTCTGGATTGAGATGCCAATGATGTATTGATCAGAAATGCAACTTGTATAAAACTAAAAATGCCGGGGGTAAGGTGGGGTGGGGTGGAGGGGAGAGAGAGGCTTTAAAAAAAAAAAAACTCTTCCCTAGAGGATTCTTTCTGGGTTTCGAAGGTCTGATTGCGGCTGTACTGGCTGAACGGCTCACATGTGCTGGCTGGGTGGTCTTGGGGAGACCACAGCCAGTCTCTGTGCCCCGGCTCCTCTTGGATGTATGTGTGCACCTACATGCGTGGGCATGGGGTGTGGCATTTGGGATACTCAGAGAACCCGGCTCCCAGTGGCTGGCATCTGTCTGTGAGGGCAGGAAGGGGCCTGCACCGTGAGACCAAAGGAAGGGAGCTGGGGCGGAGAGGTGGCCTGCACCCCGAACCTCCGCCATCGCGTGGAGGGAGAGCCCGTGCATTTGGCAACCACCAGGTCATTAACAGGAATCTTATTTTAAACTCCCCAACTTGTGGTTAGTCCTCATGCTCCTCATGCTTCATTAACCTTTCTACATTTCCATTTTTAGATCCGAACTATATACCATAGGTTACATTTAAGGAGAGAGAGTTCGACAAGATTTCTCTCCCGGTTAACCCACCCTAGCACAGAGTGAGTTTTTACAAAGCCAGCAGGGGTTCAGACCGCAGCCTGGCTGCGAGCTGCTGGAGGTGTGTAAGGAAGGGCAGCAGAGAAGTGTGATCCTTTGCGGGGTACGGAGGCAGTTCAGCAGGTGACCCCCCAGCGTATTTCCAGGTTACCATCATGGGCAAATTTGTAAGGAACAAAACTGCAGCTGGTGCGGGGTGAGGGGAGGGGACTGTGAGGGACTTTGTGGTTTTGTGCTTCTCTTTCCTGGCCAACCCCAGGGTTACCTGTCTGGAGGCCCAGCCATGTGACAATAATCTCTGCTATTGACTGTTAAGGTACATAAATGACTCCGTTTAGGAGAGATCTTCCAATAGGGAGCAGCCTGTTTCCGACCGCCTAGGTCAAGCCAGAGAAGTGGCTGATGAGGTCAGCTGGATAAATTCAGGCCCTGACCTCCTCACCTGCCCTCCCTGCCCACTTTGGTGGTGGCCTCTGGGCACTCAGGCAGAGTCCTTCGGCCTCCAGTCTCACTGGGGTTCTCAGTCCATCCCGTATTTGGGCTGTTGCCCAGGATCTGTTCCATTTTGTTGCCCAGGCCTGAGTGAGACCTGTGCTTCTCTCCCGGAGGATGACTCCTCGCCAGTGGCTTCGTTCAAGGCTTTGTTCCCGTGGACCGGGCCGGCAGGCTCATCCTCCCTGGAAGCAGGACCTGCTGCCTGAGAAACACAGCTCTGGTGTCTGACCTAGAGCCTTGTGTGGCCGGACTCTCAGCCCGTTAGTGACAGGCCTTGTTCTGTTTACTGATGACATTCTAGATGTATCTAGCCACGGGGACACAGTTTTCCAAACTGAGAAAAATGTTGCAATAAAAGCACGTGTTGTAAGAAAGATGCTGGATCTTTTATTTTTTCTTTTCATTTTCTTTTTCTTTAAAAAACAAAACAAAATAAAAAAATGCCTGAAGCAAAAACTTTTTAGGAGTAGTTACAGATATTACAGGGCTAGGGATGGGGGCACAAACAAAAGAGAAAAGCACCAGTGAGATGTCCCCATGTTTTCTCCCCGTCACGGAATACAGACAACCAGCAAAGCCCCAGTTGCTTTCATGCTCTCTTCCCTTGTAAAAAGGAGGAACAGAGATCTTAAGAATTTCAAAAGGATTTTTTTTTTGTGTGTAAAAATCAATGCTATAAATCTAAAATGAGGTCTTTTTTTTTTTCTTCCTAAAACAACGCGAAGAAAACACATGGAAAGAAACCGCTCGTGGAGACCTGCTTAATTATGGTCTGAGGCTCTTGAAGGAGAATATAAAATGCAGAGAGCTCCTCCCGTGGGCAGGACCTGCCCACTGCCCTCTCTGCCGCCCTCCACTCCCCTGCCCTGCCGTCACCCTTCTTCTCCCCTTTTAAAAAATAAAACCCCCCTCTCGTGACTCCGATCCTCCTCCGATCCCTGTTGGAAAGCACAGCGGCTACTTGGCGTCGAGCTTGGCCATCTCCTGCACGTAGATGCCGATGCTCTCGCTGTCGAAGAGCAGGAAGTACACATTCTTCAGCGAGGACGCGCTCGAGTCGTCGAAGTGGGCCGAGATCGCTTTGAGGGTCACCTGGGCTGCGGTCTGTTTGGGAAAGCAGTTTCTGTGCCAAAGCAAAAGAAGAGCTGGCATCATTTCAGTCCCCGGGAAGGTCACGTGGTGCCCTTGTTTTCACTGCATGGAGCCTGACCCTAGTCAAAGGGACAGCCCGGGAGGGGCAGGCAGGGGTGTTGTCCCCACTTTATAGGTGCCACACTGACTCAGAGAGGTACAGTGATGTTAGCCAAGGTCACAGGCCTGGCAGGGGAGGAGTACCCCTATTTGAATCTGTGTCCCCTGACTCAAGTTGAACTTGGCTTTAAAAAGCCTAGCCATTCAGCATTGAGAATACCTGGTCTACATAAAAGAAAATACAGGTTTTATTAGCTCCCTCGAAGCCGGTTTACACGCTAACCAGATGGTTTAGTAAGGGGCAAAAATGTACGTTCAAAAGCCTGTCTTCATGATTCCTTTTTCATGCACCTGATGTTTCTCTCACTGACTCCCACGTGCCTGGGGATGTACTTTCAGCAGCAGGGACTGGGCAGGGCGGGCTGCTGAAAGTTTGCCAAGGGCCCCAAGCGCCAGGGAGCTACTGATAGTGCGTCCACCAGCCGGGGCCATGGCACCAGCCTCTAGGACCACAGCCAGAGTGGTCATTTGGGGTCAGCCACCAAGACCCCTGGGGCAAGTCCAGGAGGAGCCTGCCTGAGACACATTCTTCTCACCGTCCGCAGTGTTCCAGTCCAGAACAGCTCTGCCCACGCTCCCACCTGTGCCGGGATTCACCCTGCAGCGCCCTGGGCCTGGGCTGTGGAGACCCAGCGCTGGTTGCTTAGGCTGAGAGACGATGACAGCAGGAACCTAGGCCTTGCTGTTTCCCTCTCAGCCTGCCCATGACGTGGCCACAAGTCATAGCTATGTGATGGAGGGGCAGCTCTCAAGATGAGAGGGTGTTCAAAATTAAAGTAGTAATTGCTGGGCCAGGAGCATGGAGGGAGAGGATATGTTGCCTGTGAGAACAGATATCCTCACTGTGTACCCGAAACAATGCCCAGCTGGGGTCTGTGACAGTTAAACCAGGCATTTCCTCTAACCCCCTTGTAAACAAGTCCTCGGTGACAGCCTTTCGCTTCTTTGGGTGTGTTTCTCAAAGCCTCAGCCTCCTGGCGCTGCTGCCCAGAGAGCAGCAAGGGAATCCCCTGGGGATGCTGAAGCAGGAGGGCAGAGCTGGGCCTGGGATTCTGCATTCTGACAAGGTCATGTCCCTGCTACTGGTCCACGGACCACACTTTGAGTAGCAAGGCCTTTGAGCCTGGTGTTTTCTGACCCTGTGCTCTAGACATGGACAGCTGGTGGGAATGTGGACTTTGAACAAGGCAGGCTCTCAAAAAATAACATGCCAGCTTGCCTCTGCCTCCTGCTCCTGCCCTGAGCTGCCTTCCTTCCTCCCTGGGCTTTAACGCTGAGGAGGCAGGGAGATGGCCTCCTGCCAGGGAGACCTGCCACCCTATGAGCCTGTGGGATTTGAAGGGTGGAAACTGGGTCTCTTGCTCTGTCACCTGGTCAACGTGCTTGGCTGTGCAGTCGCCCTTGGCCATGTCTTCTGCGATGGCCATGTCGGATGTAAGTGGGGAGCCACCGGTTCCCAGGGTGAGGCTGCAAGAATCAACTCGAGAACCGCATCTTACCTGCCGCTGGGGAAAGGAGGGAACGCGACGGACTTTAGCTTCTTGTCCTCTGCCGCCGACAGGCAGTTTTTGATGGTCTCTTCAAGCTGTTCTTCACATTTGTCAGAGCCCCACTGAGGGATGTGACAGTGGATGACAAATTTGGCTGCAAGTCCACTGGATTGGCTGACGGCAGCTGGGACATAGGAGATAAAAAAAACTGCAGGTTATTTCCTAAGTGTTCACCTTATGTTAGGAGGCTGGGCCGAACTTCCTCCGCGGGGGACAAGGAACCGATGGAGAAGTTGGCTGGACAACATCCCATGCTTCCGATGGGGACTGTCTGCCAGGGGGCAGGGGCTGTGTCAGAATGACTCTGGACAACCTGCACGTGCTTCGGATAAAAAATTAATGCTGATGTGAAAGCATGTCACTTTCATATGGTTTGTCCCTGGGTTGGGCTGCCTGCTCAGTGTTTCCTAGTCACAGCAACACTGCAGAATCCCCTCTGGTGGCTGTGGTAGGTCGAGTCATGACCTCCCCAAAACATCCAAGTCCTAATTCCTGGTAGCTGTGGATGTTACCTTACAAGGCAAAAGGGACCTAATAGATTTGATTATGTTAAGGATCTTGGGGAGTGATCCTGGGTTAAGGGTGAGCCCTAAATATGATCACCAGGGTCCTTATGAGAGGGAGGCCAGAAGTCGAAGGGGATATGATGACGGAAGCAGAGACTGGAGTGACACGGCCAGGAGCCAAGGAATATTGCAGCCTAGAAGCTGTGAAAGGCAAGAACTGGAAGGAACCAGCCCTGCCAAGACCTTGGTTTTAGCCTTTTAAAACTCACTGTGGACTTCTGACTTCTAGAACTGCAGGTTGGTACATTTGTGTTGTTTGAAGCCACTTAGTTGTGGTCGTTTGTTATAGCAGCCACAGGAAATGAATACAATGGCTTTTAAAAAGTAGGCGTGTCTGAGCCCC